AACGCCAGGGTCTGGCACGTTTTGGCATTGGCAAGAGCAGCCTCCTGGACGGGCCAGCACTATATAAGACTGGCCCTCCCTGCAGGCTGCAGGTAGTTCATAGGGACTTCCCAGGCACTTCACGTGCAGTTCAGGAGGCAGGAGGTAGTCTTCAGGATTCGGCAGCAGCACTCTGGAGGAGCGCTGCAGTAGTAGTAGTAGCGTTAGCAGTAGTCTTCAGCAGTGGGTGCTATTAGGAGCTAGAGTAGTACTGGGTTGGGCGGAGGCCAGGGAGACTTACCTGCAGCGCCATAGCTCCAGCTCGTCGTCGAGGTACCTGCAGCACAGCTCCATCTTCACAGGTTGGTACCTGGCACATGAGAGAGAGAGAGAGAGAGAGAGAGAGAGAGAGAGAGAGAGAGAGAGTTCTTCTTCTTTCTCCTCTCAGTCCACCATCTCCCCCTCACCCTCTCGCTACCTGACTTCACTGCATCAGCAGACTACGAGAGAGCGGGATTGGTGACATTTGGATCCAGACTCGACATTGGGCTTCAGACATTTGATGAGGGATTATCTGGGACTTGCACCGAAGACTTGGTGTCGACGACATTCCCATCTTCCCCCCTCTTCTTCGACTGATCCCCTCCTCTTCGTCTGATCCCCTCCTCTTCGTCTGTGTATGGTCTGGACCTGGCCGCATTCTTCCTGTGTGTAGCACCAGGCCCCTGCACACCTTGTGATGAGGATGATGTATGTTTGGTCTGCATTGCGACATTGATTGGGCTAGTCATTGGTATTCTAGCATTCCGCTGCGTTGTCTTGTACTACATGAGAGAGGTCAGTCCCGGTCAGGTCAGGGCTTATATCGAAGTCTTCCACTGCGCTACAAGGTGCCATTTTGTATGTATCAGGATGTGCATTGCTTGTTGAGATTCCACTCACACCGCATTGTCCATTCAGTCCTTTTTATCATATTGCGGATCCTTGGCTATACATACATTGCCCAACTGGGCATGTAACAGCTGGTATCGGAACACCGCACGTGAATCAGGACAACCTGATCTGACACGTGTGCGGGGACTAATTAGTTGATTAGTCTTGATTGATTGATTGATTGATTAGAGCACACTAATTAGCCCCCAAAATCGCGATTTTGACCTAACTGCTGAAAATCGATTTTTTTTTCTTTTCTTGGATTTTGTTTTCCCGCTATTTCTGTTGTGGAAAATTGCAATAGCGCAACACCTGAAATTTCCATTTTCGTTTTTCTGAAAATTCAAAATTTCGTTGTTGGAAATCCGGAATATTTTTTTCGAAAATTTCCATTTCCTTTTGCAATTTCCCGTTATTTGGAAATCCGAAATATTTTTATAATTTCCGAAATTCGTTTTTTGAGATTTGAAAACGGTCCGGGAAATCCCTCTTGCAGTTATCATTTTCCAAACTGCGCGTACGCTCATCTGAGTAATTCCGATTTTTTTTTTTTTTTGCGGAATTCTTTTATCAGATAATCATTTGCGGTCTGAAAGTTTGAAATTTTTTCCTCAATTGGTAATTTCGCACTTCAGGGGGAATTGGGAGGCCTACTGTGGCATACTGCGTAGCCACACGGGCCCTGCAGGGCCCGTCCCGGACATTCAGCCTAAAAGCCTAAAACTTAGGGCTTACAGGCCCCGGTCGTTTCAGCCTGAAAGCTGAAAAACGAGGGCCTGCAGGCCCTACTCCGTTTCAGCCTATTTCTGGGTCTTTCAGACCCAGAGTTTTTCCAGCCTGAAATGGAGGGCCATTTTCAGGCCCTCATTGTTTTCGACCACCCTAAGACTCAGGCACGAATACAGGGTTTCGGAACAGGCCAGAAATAGCCTGTTCCTCACGAGCTTGAGCAGGAGCTGCAGCTGCAGCC